ATTACAATATCAACAGCAAATGTTCTGCAGGTCTGTCAAGGTTAACCTAATTTTATCCTATTTACTTATGTCATTATTTGGCTTGTGATAAATAGGGTTGTAGTTTAAAAAATAATCTGAAAGTTTTCCTATTATCGTTTCCTGCACATGGAAATTACTCTCCTTGTCTCTTTGTTCCCATTCTCACAGAATCACAGACTGGCTGGGTTTGGGAGGCACCTCTGGAGGTCATCTGGTGCAACCCCCTGCTCAAGCAGGGTCACCTAGTGCTGATTGCCCAGCACTCTGCCCAGCTGGGTTTTAAGTATCCCCAAGATGGGGGATTTCACAACTGGATATCACTGGGAAGAGCTTGGTATGGTCTTTACATCTTCTGCATCTTTCTAGCTTGTTACATGCCCTGGCAGGTATTGTCCAGAAGCTTGTGGAATGCTGTTGATAGCAAGATCAGATATTTTTCAGATTTTTTGGTCTCCTTAATTTTCTTACACAGGTTTGCATCTCAGAAGAGGGCTCCTTGCAAGGCATGGCTGATAATAATGGTGTAAGGAGATGTGGGAGGATCCTCCACTGCTATTTCTGCCACTATTGAAAACTAGGAACTAAACATTATTACTGCTTGGTTTTCCCTCCAGCACCAAGCAGATGTATGAATTAAATGGCATTTTTGTGATATCCTAACATTCCAGGGCACAGTACCTGTCAATGATAATAGATGTGTTAAGTTACTAAAGCTTTCTTACTCAAGGATACATGAGCTTCTTTTTGAGCTATTATTTATTAACCATGATTTTTACATTTTCTGTTACTTGTTACTTTTAGTTGCTCATTCTGAATTTTTAGTTTCTTATTTATCTCTCAAGATATTTATCTCTCAAGAAAGCATACAAGGAATTTCATTTTGGCCAAACACACTTTGCTCACCATGTTTGGGCATCATTTTCTGCATGTAGAACAAGAACATGATTTGCTCACTCTACGTGGATATGTAGTAGCGGTGCACTTACAAGTGTGTGTGGTAGTAGCCCCTATTGAAATAAAATTATTTTTGATGCTTTTACTACACATTTTATTAAAAACTGTAATTTTCAGAAACCTAGGAAAGGGCACATCAGATTATATCTCCCGGCACATTAGTTTTCTCTTAACATGTCTTAGTAGTTGCAGTGAGAGCATTCATTCTCCTTGAACAATCCAGACCTCTGTGTTTGGGAAGGAAGTAGTGTTAGATAAACTTAACCTGCCATTTCATGGCTCTTTGTCTCTGTGTGTGTATACACACATGCGTGTTAGGGGACTCTGCTCCCTGCAGGGGCTGGAGTTAACCTTAAGTTTGGCACCATGATAAAACGTTAACATGATCTAATATGATCTCTGGAGACTGTTTATTTTCTTAGCTTTGAGGAGTTGTGCACACTATGTGATGCCTTGTCAGGGAGGATAATCCAAATTAATGGAACTGTATGATGTGCAGCACAGAACCGTCCCAGTCTCTGGTACAGAGAAAGGAATGTTTCAGTGGCCACCAAAGAAGTGCATAAGTGTTCTTTTGGTTTTGGTTTTAATTCAAAAGCTAAACCTTGGTATCAAAATGCCCAAGGTGCTTTTCTGGATCGCACTACTTTTCATAGCTAACAACACATTGCGAGCTTTTATTGGTAGTCTGGAAAAAATGTTTTTTTTTAATTGATTTCAATTTTTTTTTATGTGTACCAAGTACTTTAAATTATAGGTGCTATTAAAATTAATTTGAGGACCATATATAGTGCAGAATAATTTACTAGATTCTAGCGAAACCATGCAGTTCACAGAGGGGATCATCTGCTTGCTCATGATATAAAACACTGAGTCACAGCTTTCTGTATTTTAACTCAAAATAACTGTACACTCTATTGCTATTTTCAGAAGTTGTTGATACTGTATTTCTCTAATGAGAAACAACTATTTTTTCTTTTTTTAATCACAAGATTTCTTTGCATATGAAAAAAGCATTTGTTGAGTAATGTTGGTTAGATTTACCTGTGGGATACGGAACATAATGTTTTTCTTTTGGAATATTGCCCAGCTATCCTGAGAAGGTGTAACATGCAGTTAGAAAAAAAGGTACTTAGTAGACAGGGAAAAAGATACAGCAGGGTGCTTTAGTGGACAAATATTTGATGGTTTACCATCCTTAATTGCCTACTAGGCTTGTGTTGTGTGAAATAACAACTGCATGGTCTATGTACAAGAGCAATTATTGTCTGAGATGATGAAAATAGACCAGTTAATCAATTTACCGCTTGTAATTCTAGCATTAAAGTAGGTATTTTCCAGGACCTGCTTTTCTGATGGCCTTTCTCTATCCTAATATTTTGTACTATTATTATGTCTTGAAGTGCAGTTTGTGAAACAGCAAAATGCAGAGAAGAGCTCTGTGTCTTCCAGCGAAATGCTGAGAAACTGAATCAACTTTTTATTCCTTGATTTCCATTCTGGCCAGATTTTCATGTGCTCTAGGGCCTAATATCATTGCTTCTGTCTGCTACTTATTACTGTGGGATACAATAATTTTCCCCTAAGTGTGAGCAGAGTATGTGTCTGCTTAGCTTTCTTGCAGTAAATACGTATTTCCAATTCTGCATTGAATTTTATAGCTGCATTGGAAAGGGACAATATAGAACAGTTTCCTGCAATAATCTTTCAAGGTCCAAATCTTGTAATCTGTCCTATCCTTCTTTTCATAGAAATATTTCCCTGTCCACCTGTCTCCATTTTTTCCCCAGAGAAGAGTGTTATTAAAGAGAAGGTGGACCTTTTCTGTTTGTTTATTACTACCAGAACATCCCCTTGTGTGATTCTTGAACTTAATCGTCAATGCTGACTGTGGTTTGAGTTTGTTTTACTTGCACCTTGGACAATAGAAGAGTGTATTATACCCAGGAGTTTGGAGTCATTTAGAATCCAATTTTCAAGAACAATAAACAACAGGTTGGTCTATTGCTCACATTCTTCAAAGCCTTAAAGAGCATAATGAAAATTGACTCTCCATAACGGCAGCCACCAGTGGACTTACTGCTCTTGGGATGTATGCAAGGTGATAGACCTGAAGTCTCTCAGTTACAGCAGGCTTTATTTCAGGTGCATTGAACTCCCAGTGTCTGCTGTGCCATGACCATTAGCATAAGCCAGTCAAGTGCAGCAAGGGCAGAGAAATCTGAAATTATCACAGTCCCACTGAGAGGGGGGGAGAGAGTCCCACTGCGCTGCCAATTAACAACAGTCTGAAGGCACTCTCAGAGAGGGTATGCTGCAAATGGCTTTTGGTTGCATGCAGTGTTTACAACTATGAACTAATAGGGATCTTTGTATTGACTATTGATTACTAGGGAGAATGGCTTTTCTGTGAAAATGCAATACATTCCTTCCTGTTTTGCTAGAACAGCATTGACAAGATCTCCCGCTGCAGGCAACAAACTTTCCATGCTCAAACCATTTGACATGCTAGTTTCAGTACTGCATCTTGTGCCCATGAACAAGAGGGTAATGTCGAGCCTACATGTGAAAATTTGATTTGAGGTTGATGTGAGTGTATGACATTTTTAACATCTGGATTTTCCAGTGATGCAGAAGTGCATCTGTTGTTTGAGACTTCAGAGTCCTGTTTTTTTTTAAACTGGTCTTGACAAGCTTGGGATGTTTTCATACTGTTTTTTCCATATCTCATTCACACCTTGAACACATCCTGAATGTTATAAGCGGTGCAGAGTCAACTGAGTGCCAATTTCTCATTTCTCAGCTTAAACAGACTTTGCCTTCTTCCAGGAAGATCCTTTGTAGGATCCTTTGTAGGATCAGCACTGATCTGGATTGTCTTTTTTGGCAGCCTGAGAGTGCTCACCAACACCTAGCCCATCAATTCAGCAGTAGCTGAATGCTGGGACTGATAACCCCACAATTTAATGCCTGCAAATTGTTCTGTTTGATTCCCAGTGGTCAAACAATGCATTTATCCTTGTCTTATCAAATGGAGCACGATTTAGCTGACACTCCAATAACATCGATCTTACAAAGTAGTCTTATTTGCAGCTGGCTGAGGGTGTAAGGACGAATGAACATAGAAAATACTATTTAATAACTACTAGGGTGTGGGAATAGGACAGTTGCTTCAAAATCATTGTCTAATGCTTACTTGTAGTTATATGCAAAATGAAGCATAACAATCTCTAATAAGAGTAAAAATATTTGCAGTAAACTTTTATATCACACTTTTGCTAGAAATTGCAGAATTGGTTTCAAATTTTTCAATGTAAAACTAAAAAATAGTGAAACCAGAAGCAAAAAACCTTTTGAAAAAGTAACTCAATTGTTCTGTGCAATTTTACAAGTTGTTTTCACCTGTTTAATTTTTTCCTATTTTGCAGTGTATTTGAATAGTCACTATAGTTTCAGTTTTTGTAATAAGTTTTGTTTTTTTTAGTTAATAAAGATGTTTCATGCTTTTTGCCAGAAAATTGTTTAGAACTCATTTTTACATACTCTAGTAGAAGGAAAATTAAACTTATGATAAACTCTCATTTGAACTTCTAAAAGTTGTTAGTTTTTCCTTTTGAGAAACTGGGGTCAAATACTGCATTTTTATGTTAGCCAAAACTTCAGTAAAAACAGTGCCATATTTTTCTTGAGATTTAATTGATTTAGAACTGCAGGGTGTGACTGTTTGGAAGGAAAAATAAGTAAGTGTTGCTATTTCACTGGGTAGAAAGTGTAAAGAAAGGCCATTTTGTATGAAAGTTGCCAAGGGAAATCTGAAGCTCATGAAAATTTCTCAGGTTTCAATATCTTTTTTTTTCTTTTTTTTCTAGACTGCAGACATCTCAAACCATTTACAAGAGATGTGGCAGACAAAAACTGCTCAGTTTACAAGCAGCCCTCAAAAGATGGAAAGAAAAAAAAAGAATATTCCTAAGCTAGTTTAGGAAAAGGTGAACTAAGATTCTTTCTTTTCCCCTTATGTGTAGGCAGTCTGGGAGAAGGATGTTAACCACTGGTCCCTGATTTTGGATCACTTCTATTAAAGAGAAATCCCCATTTCAGAGAGAGTACAAGACTGTGGGAAATTAGAGGATACCACATCCCATCTTTAAAAAAGGTAAGGAAACGTTTTTCTGCTGATCCTTTATAAGTGGTGTCTTCTTTTAACAACTCATTAAGTTGAAGGAAGAAAGGAAAATTTAGATAATAATCGATTCTAAACTTCTTATTTTGACCTGCATGTTCTAAGTTATAAATAAAAAATAAGCTTTTTCGTATTAAACGAAGAATGTAATGCATGTGTTTGTGTACTTAAAACTAATTTCTGTGTAGCTTTTGTGTACATTTTGACACAAAAAGAAAATAAGTACTGCACGTAATGTTAGATACTTTCTTTAATTTCAACCACTGGTGTTATTCTTAGCCATGCAAATATTTATGTACTCTCCACTCTATCAAGCAACAATCATTTTGCCAAGACAGATAACAGCATGCAGAATGCAGCCACTGGGAATTAGTGCTAAGTAATAGTTCATCATTTAGGCTTTTATCAGAACAGATCTGCACTGTTTTACTTTCTACCAGGTTTTGGATTGATTGCTTATTTGCAAGATATTTATGACTCTACTTTCTTGCATGCTCCAGTTACAAAAAGTATTGGAAAAAGCCGAAAACAGTTAAAACATACTGTGCTGTGCATGTTTCCTTTGAAAGCAGAACGACAGCAGCAGCAGTCTTCCAATTCAGATTTTCCTTTTTCTTTTTACTTCCTTTTTAATTTCTTTTAGGGGGAGGGGGTGGGAGGGGAAGGGGAAGGTCCTGGGAAACATATTGGAATTGCAAAAGATAGGTAATAATTTCTTTCTAGAGCAGCCATTCTGGAATGTGTTCCCAGGGCAAACATGTTCATCAGTGACTTCATCTACACTTACACTGCATTTCTATAAAACTAGTTTCATTGTCTGTCTAATGTAGAAATGCTGTCTTCGTTTTTGCACAAAACAATATGGTTCTGTTATTCAAACTTATTTATGTGGTTTAGAGAATCTATCCTGTCTAACCAACATTGCCCTGTAAATTAACAAAAGCTGTTCGTTAACTAAAAGTCTTGCCTTACTTGCAACTGTCTTCATAGAATGGTTTGTGTTGGAAGGGACCTTAAAGTTCCAACCCTCCTGCTTCCCAAAATGTACGTTTGACTGGTATATTATGTGGCAAGAGAATGAATGATAAGCAGATATCATTGACAACTCTTCTGAAATTATCAGCTGGAATACATTGGCTTGTTGTTAAGAATAAAAGGTTCTGTTTTCTTGATATGGTCATAGTCATGAGGCTATTTTTGTATCATAAAAACCTACTGCACCTCAGCAGAGGGTACACAGGTGTTTTTGAAATACCAGTTTTTAAGACGTTGTTTGTTTCTCTATTATGGGTACGATATGTTCTTGTTTTTTCAAAGAAGAAAGTGTGCCACCACAAATGGAAAGTGCTCTGTGAATGTAACACGCTTCTTACTTGCTCTTTTTAACTTCATATTTCCATGGCACTTGTAAGGATTACATATTCTGAGCTATCTTCTGTTTCCTTTTAATAGACTTCATTTTTTGCATACAAGGTGGCAGTTTTCAAAGAACACATTTTATACTTTGCCAAGTAAAATACAGTACCTGTTGGCTTATAATACAAATATTCAAAGAGCAGTCTATGAGTGTGGTCAGTTGCAATATCATCTTCAGATTGTCTAATACAAATTTCATAAATAAAGTATGCAAGACATACATTTCTGTACAGAATTTGCACATAATTTTTCTTCCAAGAGAATTAAAGCTAGGTTTTCTTTCTGACAGCGTACCCAGTGTTCTTTTGTAACCCACCCCCGTATCCTGTTGTTAAAATATTCTGCTTTTTACAGCAGATAATAGTACAAAAACTTTAATAGGAAATAATTCGTGCCAGGAGTAGAGGTTTTGCTTTATCCATAAGATTCTCCTTGTCATAAATAATTTTAGAATATTTTCTTCTTCTTCTTCTTTGTTTCATTTGTTCTTTCTGTTTACCCAATTCTGATTTCTTTCTTACAATAACTGATGATTATGGAAACATTTAATTGTATCAGTAACTTTAGTGGAAGCACAAACAAGGAATTTATGAAATGAGTCACTGTGTAATAATTAGCTATGCAAATACTCTATTTCCTTATTTTAATGAAGAAGAGGCCCTGACAAGAAGATACAGTTGAATTAGTCACCATAATGTTGTAACATTTGTTCATGGTTAATTTTATAGATTTCTGAACTTTTTTATGCTACACTTGTAATGAATTTTCCTGATAATTAGAATGTCTCAATGTGAAAAGTACCTTGATTTGTGAACTCTCTACGTATTATTAACGTGAATGAACTGGTTGTCTTCTCAAATTTGCTATCACAAAACCAGCCAGGAAGTCTTTCACTGTAAAAATACTGTGATTTCATGCTCTTCTGCAACTCAGCCTTAGCTTGTTTTCTTGCAGAGAGCAACATCATGTCCTCCTGCTACCCCAGTGCAGGGGTGAATTCACACACCAGAGACAGCTGTTCATGGTGGTTTGCCCCCGTGGTACCTCTGGCTGTGCAGGGCTGGGACCTGAGGTGGTGAGCTGTAGAACTCAGCTGGGTAGCACTGTGCTCTCACCATGTGAAAAACTCTTCTAAAACACTCATCTGTGCTTACTAGAGCTATGTCTGCCCACTGCGTGGTCCTCCCCAGCCTGTGTCCTGTTTAGAAGGAACCAACTTCCTTGTCTCCTCCATGACCAAAGAAGAACAACCAAAAAGATGACCTGAGAATTGCAACAATTTGAAATGATGTTCACACTTCCATGGAAAGTATTTTCTGATATGCCGTTAACTAATTAGTTCAGAATATCACACCATCTGCAGAACCGGACAGAACATTGCAGCAGGAACTCGGGTGGTTAAATCCATCTGCTAATTGTTGTGGGACAGTAATTACAATAAAAAAATCTAACAGATTTAGTCAAATATTTTTATGATGTGAAAACTATGCTGCAAATTTCAAATACTTGTTTATTCTATCATACAGAAAATCTCCTGGCTTTATGTATGTCTCTCTGGAGTCTACCAGTTTCTGAGTCTAGGTGTTTACTCATTCTTGTTCTAAGAGTTGTGAGATTCATGGCTACTGTTTATCAGGTTGGCAACCTGTAAGCTTCTGGAAGTTGAGAGGGTTGGGGTTTTTTTAATTATTACTGTCAGTGAAGTATGAAGGCAGTAGGTAGATCTGTTACAATGAGGCCTGACAGTTTTGGGATCTCCAAGAGAGCCTAGAGAGTGTGAAGCTCATCCACAGAAACTTCTTCTGAAAGCCAACAATGTCATGCTGAAGAACAGTTATTCTTGATCAACTTGCTTTGAAATAATGGTACGACAAATACAAGTAAAACAACAAATGAACAAAACAAGTTGCCATGTCACATTTTTCATGTTCCGTAAGCCTCTCAATATCTAACTTAGCTAGTTAACTTTTGCATCTGCCCTGTTTCCCCAGGAAGCTGTCCAGGATGCAAAAGCTTGTCTTAATAATTTTGCAAGAATAGTTTTTTCTGCTTTTTTCCCTCAGGCAAGATGGATGGTGTATCTATGTTAAAATCAGAGCAGTATTTATACTACAGTATTTACATTCAGCCTCTAGATGCCTCTATGTTGTCTAAACTTTGTATGTAATATAGAGTAAGGGTTTTGGTAAAAGGAATACAAGAGCTTCTAAGGCAGAGCTAATTTTTGTGGAATTATTAGATGGTAGTAGTGTTGCTTAGTTCTAATTAAATCTGTTTCTTTATTTTAATTACCAAATTATAATCGGAATTAAAACTTTTATTCCTAGTTAGATTCAGTACTTCCAAGCAGGATTTCCATGCTCACCAGGAGTATTTTGGAGCAATTTGTATTTCAAAACAGGGCTCAGACTGTGAAGCTCGAGTGGTTTTTTTCAACATGTTCAACATTTCTTGTGTCAAGTAAATTTTTTCACACGGCCAGAAGTCTTGTTTGCAAAATTTAGATTCATTTATGTTTGGAGTTTTATTTTTGTGGTCCTACCAATGTCAGGAGCTTATGCTATTTACCTGGCTTTAGTTAGGCTGTGGGCTGTGTTCTTTTGATTTCTTCTGTGCTGAATTCTGAGAGAATATCAGTGTATAGCAAAATTATCCGAGGTCAAAATGTGATTTATGCTTCCCCCAGTACTTTTAGAACTGGGTCAATTAAAGGATTCCCAGAAGTTATTTTTTTGTACGGCTGCCCCTCCGCTAAAGTTTTAAAAGTTCAAATTATGATCGTAAGAGTACTCAGGAATTCAGGTTTGTAGGGCTGGGACAGGCAAAAAACTGACACAAATCCTGATTTGACTTTGCTAAAGCGGTATTTGTGTTTGTGATGTCCAGCGTCCAGCAGTGGCTAAATATTTTTATAAGCCCTAATTCAGGAAAAGAGAATTACATGCTTGATTGGAATATAATTTAGTGCTTCCTTGAGCTGAAAGCTCACTGGGCTTTAGTGGCTAACTAGGAAGGAGGACAGTAAAGCTCTTCAGAAAATTCTAAAAGGAAAAGACATCTAGGCAGAGGTGTCTTCAAGACAAGGTCTTTCTTCAGCTCCATCATCTTTATCATTAAGTAGAAAGGGGAGCTGAACTATCCTGTTCTGATTGGATAATGTTTCCCACTGCAGGGTCCTGCTGAGGTTGCTAATTTTTGTTGATATAACTCAGGATAAAAAAATGTCATAATAGTGCTGGTTTGTATCTTGCTCTTTTTTCCATATTGCATATGTTATTGTCTAAAAGCAAGAATTCTTCCCCAAAATGAAAGGTTCTGGAGAAGAAATAAGAGTACAAGAAATATGTAACCCATAGGCAAGTTTCACTAGAAAAGCTCCTCAAGGCTTTTTAAACTGTTATTTTAACCTGGATATATGTTTTACAGAAGGATGAATGCCGTAATTTTTAATGTCTATCACATTTTTATGTCTGGAAGATATAATGTGCCATTATGATACTCCTGTGTAGTGAAGGCAGTAAAAGTATCTTTTATTGAGCCTGTTAA